CAATGTTGTTTTGAAACATTATAACTAGAATCCTATATCTGTATTCATATTCAAGTTCAACATGTGATATTATCACTCCCCCGGGTGACATTACATCTGACAAATCTGCATCATCTGAATGTCATCAGATAAAGCTTAATGTGTACCTGCTACGTCATCTAGTCAGTGATATCCGAGTGTCCTTTACACCCAATTGATGGTGGGTCACTTGAACACCTGCAACAATGATAAGATAGTCCTATGACATAGTGAGAGCATACTTGTACCTCACACCTATCAACTACTAAAGGTCAAGACCTGTGTATAAGTGTTCAATACGTTATAAATATGTGTGTAGGAATTTATATTTTATGTTTATTGGTTGCAAAACCGAGGTCGTGTTATTAATCATATCTGCATCAACTGCTTGTCATCGTCCTCATGGTGTGATTACATCGCCCGTGGTAGACCTGCATCTAGTGCGTGATAAACGAGTGTACTGTTCACCCAACACCTAGTGGTACAAATCTGCGACACTGATTCCAGACTAGCATTAGTTACGCACACCACGTCAAACAACAAACAGCACAGTAACTCGTCCAAGCACAAGGGCATCTTAAATTGTATATCAGATACCTATATATGCAATATCAAATATGATCAAGTTTGGATCGCTGTCCTGGTTGCTGTTTTCTACTTACCTAACCTGTGCTTGTAGTAGCCAGGACAGTATTGTGTCTGTCATACACAGATTAGACCAGTTCGATAGGAAACTACTTGACAACAAGATGTATGTCCTGGACATCATTGATGGTGCAAAGACATCACTGAGAGCTGAGTTAAGGGAAAACATACGGGATCAAGTGAGAGAAGCCATGGCCGAGATTCTACAAGGAGAGTCTCTTCAAGACATGGTGAAAATTCAGATTGTCTCTGAATTGCGGCATCTGAAACAGGGTTACCATCAGATGAAGAGTCAATTGCATCATGTCTCAAGATCACTCAAAGGCTTCCAGGACGAGACGAGTGTATTTCATGAATCTGTACTTAAGAAGACAGATGTATGGGATCGAGAGAACTCAAGTGACGTCTGTGTCAGACTTAAACATAGACTGGAAAGAGAACTACATAAGTGTAATGTTGATGCTGCTGATCTCAAGGGTGATAATGAACAGTTTGTAGAATTAAATGAGACGTATCAGTCCCAAATATCACAACTGAAAACAGCTCTGGCTGTGTCTGCTTCTTCCCAGGCAACTCAAATTGTTACCTCTACATCCACGCCACCTGTGTCGACAACGTCAGTGACTACACCTACTCCAGAGGAGGAGAAAAGGAGGCTCCTGGTTGTCCCACTTTGGTCACCTACCGAGCTTCAGTTCCGTCAACTCAACATTCACAGTAACTCCCTCAGTGTCTATCAGTATCACACCATGAAAAGGATGGCATCTGTTGCCTATATAGAAAAGACAAGGAAACTTCTGATAGGGTCATATAACCCTGATAGGATACTAGCATCTACCCTGGATACAAATCACGTGACAGTACTAAGAGAAGGTGTATGGGCACAAGGCATGGCAGTGGATGAAGGGCGGGACATCGTATTCGTAGCCACATATGAACCACAAAAGTCAATCAGCCGCATGTCTACACAGGGGAAAGACTTTACTGCCATCATTGACTTATCCAAGTACGGAGGCTATCCAAGGCAACTAACTCTTGACACAAGGAGAAGGAGGATATATGGGTGTAACCAGTGGAAACTGTTCACAGTGACATATGATGGTCAAGGTCTGGCAACATTAGCCACAGGAAGTTACATGTATGCTGTAACCCTAGATCAGACAGCTGGTGTGTTGTATTATAACAATGAGAAGAAACTGATAAAGATGACCGTGTCCAATAATGTGAGTACAGAGGTGACCACACTGGACGCTACCCCCTACAACATGAGACTGTACAGAGGCACCATCTACTACGGCGGCTATGGTTCTACTGTTGTAGGTGCAGTTGATGTGACATATAACAGTGTTGCATATACTCTCCAGTCAATAACCATGGTGGGGGTTCATACTTTATATTTGTGTTTGATTCCCTGAATTCTATAATGTCTGTTTCCAACGCACGAATATTTGAACTTCCATATATATGTCCACTATACATTTATATTAAATTGGATTCGTTTCATTTGAGGTTGGAAATAGTGCTATAAGAACAGTTGTTTATTCTAATTCTTCATAGACATGAATCACCACTTGTTTAGAACATCATTCCAGAAATGATTAACCGTGTCACCACTATCACCTTGAATTTGAGATAATAAATTATCATACATACATATATACATTCAAATTAAATTTCAAAGTTTAATGACAGACGCTCCTTTGCAAAAGAACCCCGAAAAGACGTTGCTTTGCATTTTACTTTGAAAGTATATTTTGAATTCTGTTTCGGCGGATAATGACGTTTTGTACAGATTGTGTAATTTCAATATTTCTCTGATACTCTAGGTGTAAAGAAAACTTGATAGGCAATCAATGCGGGGGTCTTTGTAAATATTAGTTGTTGTATCAGATATTGTGTCTTATGTCATCATATATTTTATTCTACAAACAATGTATTATGTCCAGGATATCATATTGACTGCTGGGCTGTGTTATTTAAGACATTCAATATGTCCAGGCTACATCTGTTTTCTATTACATTATGGTTCGGCCCGGAATTGTTAGCTCTCGATTGATTCTTCTAATAGACAACAGATGGAGCCTAGCCAGATATATTTCGATTCCATTATTATGTCTTTTGTCTAATAATTGAATTTATTAATCTTTAACTGTTATAACGAATACATATCCAGAAACAGGGCGGTGCATCTGATATAAAGAATGTAACAGTCAGTGCATCCTACTTTCAGTATGATTCATTTTGTTTATTAAATACGATTTAAGTTGAGGTGTTTATTAATTTTTTTGGACACACGCAAATAAATGAATAATTGACAGGTGGTGTGGTGGGAAGTAACACTGTGCCTCATAACCAAGATCACAGTGCAAGGATTGTCACAGAGTGTCTAACGGTATCAGACGTATGGAGTGGCGAGCATTATCCCCTGGCCTGAATCCAATTCAACATGTGTGGGACATGCTTGGACGTCGAGTTTCTGCTAGGGTGCCACACCCAGCTACGATTCGTGACCTTGAGAACACCTTGATACAAGAGTGGCAAAACATTCCCAATTTGCTAATTGGCGGGATGCAGATGCTTTGTAGAGCTTGCATCTTGGTCAGAGGTGAGGTGAAATGGGGTTTAACGTCGCGTCCAAGATTATTGCACTTATATAGCGACGTGCATGTACGTGTGTGTGTTTGTGTGGCTGCTTGTACTAGTCCGGACTGATGCCGATTTATAGTGCTAGCTCACTGAGATATCATGACGCAGTTTAACACGAATACCCCACTCAGACACATTAAGTAATAATACGTGGTACCACAAAATGTCGACTATCATAAGATAGTACAGCACTACTGATTAGGTTTAGGGGTTTTCCTTCTGATAACCATTTGGTTATCGTGCTCCCACACATCGTTTGCCAGGCATTACAAGACAGGGAGAGGTAACAAGTGGCTAGATAAGGCAGCCAGTGTCTCGTCAGAGAATCACTGCAACAGTAAGACATGTGTGTCATGAAAGTGAAAGTAGAGTCATGTGGTGCCTACGTTGCATGTTATATAGATCCCAAGAACCCATGCTTGTTGTTAAAGCCGACGGAAATGTTGTTTGTTTGTTTGTTGTTTGACGCCGCATTCAGCAATATTCTAGCTATATGTCGGCAATCTGTAAATAATCGATTCTGAACCAGACAATCCAGTGATTGACGTCATGAGCATCGATCCACGCAATTGGGATGCGATGACAAACATCAACTAAGTCAGCGATCCTGATCATCCGATCCCGTTAGTCGATCCCGTTAGTCGGCAAGCATGGGTTGCTGAAGACCTATTCTCGCCTGGATCTTCACGAGTCCCGACGGAAGTGTGGATCGGGTGGTAATGCTCTGGGAATGTCGTCGTGTGGCATCACAATGATACGTTGCTCATGTTATCTACCACTGGTTTGTTTGACTCGACTATTTGTCGCAGTAAAGCATGGGTGTTGCCATCTTCCCGAGGCAAGCGAGTTAACTGACTTAAAAAGTCTAGTTTCCACCCTTGCCGAACTAGGCTGGAATTACTGGGCTCGATCGTAGCGCCACCAGTGGCTATTACCTGTTATGTCCCTTCTAAGCCTCTCCTATGGACCAATCAGATTCCACCTCTCGTATCACTTGCGTTTGCTTCACACAAAATGGTGGCGCCCAAGTCAGGATGATCTGACCGATAATCAATATCTATATTGTGATAAAACGTGTCTTACATCGCGAAATGCATCAAATCACGTGAGCAATTTGATTAAAAACATGAAAAGATTTGGAAAATATCTGCTGACAACGAGTTGGCGGTGCACATGCTTTGCAAATCCTGCAATCGATCGAAATCTGCTCGACAGTTTACAAACCGGATTTCGATTTCGGTGCGCAATTTTGATTGGACTATGCATAGACTCGTTAGTCCAGCCAAAATGTAACTCCATAATACCAGCCTAGTTCGGCAAGGGTGGAAACTGGACTTTTATAGTCAGTTAACTCTCTTGCCACGGGAAGATGGGATGTTGCGGACAGAGGCAAAAAACATTTTGTTCAATGTATAACAATAATAAGTTGTTTTTCTTTTACCCAGCATACAGGAGTATATCACAAAACTCCGGGTGGGAGACGTTGACGACTAAACGTGTGACATTTGATGTTAAAAAAGAGATGATGTTTATGACATACGCATATTTCCGCTAAATTACAGACGGCACTTACATCGTACATCATAAACGAATGACAGCAACAGGGCATATGAAGCGAAAAATGTGTCTGAAGCGGTCTTAAAATACCAGAGATTTTGACGTCGTGAGAAGACAACATCAGGTACTGAGAGGTCGCAACAGGTTTATTCAATAACATATCTATAAATAGCGAAAATAACAATAAAACAAAATAATAAAATCTGACTGTGCGTCAAAACTACCTTCAAGTGCAGTCTTTCATCAGTATTATTTCAAAAACATGAAAAAACGCAAAATACTCAAAGAGATAACGTACAACTTTATGGAAAACAACATCAAGCTGGATTGACAACAACCAAGTGATGAGAGGTATATATGCATGATATGCTGTGATTATATATACCTCTTACCACTTGGCTGTTGTCAGTCCAGGTTGATAACGGTGTAAGAATCTTCATCGAAACTCTTCCATTTTCAACAAAAACAGAGAGGTAGTGTTTTCACTGGCTTATAAACCGCCAAAAGGGTGTAATTTAAACAAAACATCATGTTCGTATATACGACTATTGTCAAAAGCAGTCACTGCACGAGCAATTGTTGAAAATGTAATACCGCGAACCAAAACCGAGGAGGAGTGTTTCATCCAACTTATGAACCGTCTAAATGCAAGTAATACCAGAAGAAATAAGAAAACATCGGGATACCTTTTAGTGAAACAATACAATGTGTCGCGGTATAATGGGAATTCGATCACAGCGTGCGAGAGAAAAAGACACTTGCAGCATGCAGTACAAACTGAAGTCATGACAAGTAATGTTGAACAACTTTTCATCACCTGCCCCGGCGGCTCAGTGGGGAAAACAAAACTAAACATGATGTGTGAGGTAGCAGGTTCGAGTCCCGTCATCCATAATGATAAACCTGTATTTCTTGTCTTCGATGTTTGAAACACCAAGTACAAATTTCATCTACAACCAAACTAATCAGTTCTTACCAGGAAAAAGTAAAACCTCATACCATGTCTTACAAAGTAAAAAGTAAAACCTCATACCATGTCTTACAAAGTAAAAAGTAAAACATCATACCATGTCTTACTAGGTAAAAAGTAATACCTCATACCCTGTCTTACTAGGTAAAAAGTAATACCTCATACCAGGTCTGACTAGGTTAAAGGTAATACCTCATACCAGGTCTTACTAGGTAAAAAGTAAAACCTCATACCAGGTCTTACCAGGACAAAGTAAAACCTCATACCAGGACTTACAAAGTAAAAAGTTAAACCTCATACCATGTCTTACTAGGCAAAACGTAAACCTCATACCATGTCTTACTAGGTAAAAAGTAAAACCTCATACCAGGTCCTGCCAGGTAAAGAAAAACCTCATACCCAGGATGAGGTCTAACAAGGAAAACGAAAAACCTTCCAAGAGGTTATTACGAGATAGGATGATACCTACACTACAATAGGCAAAGTGGCAGTAGGTATATAAGGGTTCTTCACCACAACATTCTATACCCTTGTACTCTCGTGATTAGAGAACGAAAAACGTGAGGAGGGCGAGTTGAAGCAGTATTTTCAGATAAGGATCATGATCTCGTGTGTAGTCCATACCTTCTTCAATCGGCACTGTTGGCGAAACACTATTTGTTCTGCAATCACTTTAACCTTGGAAGCTGTATAACTCGTGTAAACGGATCCTGTGAGGATTCTCATAACACAGTCTCCTGCCTCGTGCCTCTACACACCTGTCTATGACGCCACTCGAGGACTGATGGTCCCCCAGCACCGTGTAGCACAAAGCCAGTAACTTATACGCCTCAACTAGCTTGACATCCAGCTGTAGTGCTTGCTGTAGGCGAGGTATGGCCACGTCAAACTGTCGAAATCGCATCAACCAGTCCGCCTCGTAAGTCAGTAGTGTTGCATTGCTACCGAGGGGGATGGTTGCAGCTATCTTCTCCAACTGATTTTCTGCCTCTGCGTCAAGGGTCCGTTTTAGGACCTTCCTTTTCCCCGATCTAAACACTTCACGGAATCCAGTGTTAACAAACTTTCTTTCTGTGTTCATCACGAGATAATTGTAATGTTTCTTAGTCACCAAGAGTTTCAAAACATACGGGGTATTGTACACAGACACAAATTCTGAGGTGTCGCTGAAAGTACTCACAGTCACATTTGTCTTCTTTCCGAAGAAATTCACAGCGCAAAGATTCTTCCTTATATCGTAACTGAATTCATAAAACTCATAATGGATGAGTCCAAGTATTGGAACATTTTGATGTAACACAGTGTAGCCTCCGCTCATGTGAACCATTTGGTCCGTGAAGACACCTGTGACGTCATTCTGTTTACTGACGTAATCAAAACATGTGATGACGTCATGAGATTGTGTGTTCCCTGTGTAAGTCCATGTCTTATTTGACTCGTCGACAGACGAGGGGAACACGCGCCACTGACTCAGTATATACAGGACAACCACCATGAATATAAACCCCTGACTAGTTAGGCTATATGTCATGGATCTCAAGTACTTGGCACTGATATAAAAACAATACGAATAGCCAATAAAAGCTAAGACTAGATAATTATGCATAAAGCGTAGCTCTTTGTGCCCTTTGGCAGAGTAAAGCAACATGAGTATGACAAGGGAGGCAGCAAGTTTGCTGATGACCCGACATCTATGTCTATCTAAATGGGATAGTGATGTATATACCAGTAAATTAACGCCTATTGTTCCGAACAAATAGGCTGTGAAAAGCATCAAACATGAACTCTGCCCAATCAGTGTCTTTAAATACCAGGTAAACTCCATCCTTCCGAAAACAACTGCTGCATAGTCTTGAATCACGTTGAACTGAAACCAATTGTAAGGGGAGATAACTCCCACTCCATATGAACTGAAATCATCCAAAATACAAACTGTAAGTCCGATGACTGCACCAACAATACACGAAATAATTTTAGAACTCTCAAGGCATTTCCGGTTAATATGAGGAAGTGACGTCACGACTACAAATAGAGATGCATCTACTCGTATGTAGCAACATATCACTAGAATGAAAGATGCAAGAGTTAGCTCCCTTTTGTCATGGTCACGTTCACAATGTTCAGGCTGTGGTCGTGGATGCTTCGTAATGATGTTCATGTTGGAATCTTTTTCCACCGACATTTCATTGACAAGATTAAACTCTGGTTTACTGAAAACACATTCATCAGTAACATCGTTATCTTTCTGAATCACTGGTTCATTTTGCCGAGAACGAGACGAATTGTTTATTAAAGATATCCCGGTTGTCATACTTTGGACTATAGCTGCAATAATAATTCCGGGACAGTTTGCAAATCCTTTCGTGATGCCATGTATTCCCCCGTCGCCATGTTTAAAGCCAGGACACAAACCACTGCTCCTCTCATAACAGCACGTATTCTCAGATCCCGAGCTTTCTCGAGTTCTCCCATGGCCACGTACGAGATTTGTGACGTAATTCAGGTTCCCAGTGCAATCTACCGGCGACTGGACTTTTGGATCTTTCTTCAGCGTTGGCGAAACACAAAATAAGTTTTTAAACAGAAAGTATAACCCACAAAATAACGGTGTGCCACAAAAGCTGTTGATGAGGGTATGTGTGCCAAACACGGACAGATGTGTACTTCCGGCTGTCAGTATGGCCGCCAGGACACCACAGTCATGTGACCGGAAGAGGAGTCGGGTGAATTTGTAGACAGCCAATGGGAGACAAGATGACACGATAGTGTGAACTACCTTCCATAGCTGCGAACATACAAAGTGAGCAAATAAGTGGGATGTTGGTAATTCTATAAAACGAAATATTGCACTGAGGCAAAGAATAGGAAATAGTATTAACAAACAAGTTGTACCCATCAATGATTATCAAGCGTATAAATGTACCTATTCTCTGCCATGGCTTCGTTGCGGATGTGATGTTACCAGCACCATCGCTCCTATCTCTAAAAGAATTTCTCTTGCTCGTGAGAGTAATTTGATTGATTGCACGGCTATTTGGAGCATCATGCTAACAAACCGAAGCTGTAGTGGTGAACATATTTTACAGATAAAAACAGTTGTTAAATTATAGCTATGAAATATAATAAAAATAAGATATATTATTAGATATATTTGTTTCAGGTCTGTATGACAGACTATGGTGAGTGAGCGCAGGTTATGTTCAAAATAACAGAATGACGATATAATACACTCTTTGTTTATTTGTTTTTTTGTTTGTTTTTTGTTTAACGCCGCACTAAGCATATATGACAGCGGCCTGTAAATAATCGAGTCTGGACCAGACAATCCAGTGATTGACACCATGAGTATCGATCCAGGCAGTTGGGATACGATGACATACATCAACCAAGTCAGCGAGCCTGACCACCCGATTCCGTTAGTCGCCTCTTATGACAAGAATGGGTCGCTGGAGACCAATGCTAGCCCGAATCGCCACAGGGGATAAAATACACTGAATAATCGAGGATGATCTGACAAGATATCATATCATTCACATGTATCCATTTACATCAAGTACATGCCGGCCCAGGGTTCGATTCCCACATGGGTCAGCATGTGAAGCCCAATTATGGTGTCCCCGGCAATGATATTGCTGGATATAGCTCAAGGCGGCGTAAAACCAAACTCGCTTACTCATAAAGGATCAATCAAATCAATATGGAAAATGTATAGTTGTGTCCTTACCAAGAACGGTGTCCCCCGATAGCCGAGCCCCTCCATCAGCACCGCTAACATCATGAAGAAGCGCGGCAGCAGGAACGACCTCATGCTGTGCATCCCCATCTGGAGCTCACTGTAGCGCACCTGGCTCACGTTCAGATCCCCGGGGGTTGGCAGATACTCGTGGGTGCGGAATCCGTACCCGTACACCTCGGAGTGGGCCACTGTAAGTATACGACAACACAGAATTAATGCACAGTGAGTGAGTGAGTGAGTGAGTGAGTGAGTGAGTGAGTGAGTGAGTTGGGTTTAACGCTTTAACCAGTATTTCAGTTATTACACGGTGTGGAAGGAAAGAAACCCTAAGTGATGCGGGCCTTCAACGTTTAGCACGGCGGACAAATCTAGAAACATACGCAGATCAACTCAGGCTTTAGAACCCACGAGCATGCATGAAACGTAACAACTTTAGAGAAGCGGGCTTGGGACAACTGGCACACAGACAGTTCTTGTTACCCTTTGTCTGGGTAAGTAAGGCAATACTTCACCTCAACTCATATCTTATAATTTGATATGATGTGGTGTGATGCTATACAAAGTTTTAAGTGTTATGAATACTGGCAGCGTTTTATTCAAGTCATACAAAATCCAATTTGTTATTCAAATTTTATTGTGTATATCAAGGTGTCATTTGCCCATTACCGTGGTTACACAGATACAGTGTGTCATTTTCATGCCAATCACTCACTCGTTGCCATCCAGCTAGATGCGTTTACTGCTAGAATGTTTGAGGTGAGAAGAAGTGAAATGGGGTTGAACGTTATTTAGCGAGGTACGTGTCGTCTGTGTGCGTGTGTGTGTGCCAAGTTCCAACCAGGGAAACAACAAATTCCTTTTTTAAGCCCTTGGGTATGACCCTGTAATGTGACATCTATGTCAGTGAGTGTTCCAATGGCGGTGGTCGATATCAGCAGTACCTGTAGCCATCACAGGTAACACCACAAGTCAATTTCCGCTGACAATGCAACTGTGGATCTCGGCAAAATGTTTAATCGACGTTCGCCGCATGATGTATTGATTGAAGTGTGAAGAGAAGCCACCACAAGCGTATGTTCTAGAGGAATGATGACCCGATACATGAACTTGGTAACGCACTTGTGTTAAGGAAATCTGATGGTCACACATTTCGTTCGTCTGACGGCTTCCGACTGGTTCATATGATAGTACAGAGGGAAGCACGGTGACAATGGGTTGTCATCATAATTGGCTGTAACCCCCAATCTGTAACTTCTGCCTGTATTTACGGGACTTCATGCAGAGGTGAGGTGAGGTGAAATGGGGTTTAACGTCGCGTCCAAGATTATTGCACTTATATAGCGACGTGCATGTACGTGTGTGTCTTTGTGTGGCTGCTTGTACTAGTCCTGACTCATGCCGATTTATAGTGCTAGTTCACTGAGATACCATGCCGCAATTTAACATGAATACCCCACTCAGACACAGTATACTGACTCCGAGCAGACCAGTCCTTGTTTTAGCCCCTTAATGCCGAGCGCCAGACAGGGTGACAACAAGTACCATCTTTTAACGTCTTTTGGTATGACGCGGTCGGGGATCGAATCCCGGACCTTCCGCTCTCCGGGCGGACGCTCTACCACTAGACCACGGAGGCGGTCTCATGCAGATGGGGTGATGACAAGCAAGGCGTGCTGGATACCACGCTACCGTGGGATCCATCTGTTCCAGTGGGGTTTGGAAACGAGACCGTGTTATTTACGACAACGCTTTGAACAGCAGTTAATGTGTGAAGACGATTTGACATGGTGTGGTCAAGCCATAAACCATAGTTGGGATTCGACACAACGGTGAGCGGATCCTGACACAACAAAAGGACGCAGCCATCATCAATGCAACATACGTTGAATCAGCTATAGAGTTACTATGTTCGGTCACACTCCATCAACCCGAAGACCGCCTCCGTGGTCTAGTGGTAGAGCGTCCGTCCGGAGAGCGAACGGTCCGCTTCATATCAAAGATGTTAAAAGATGGTACTTGTTGTTACCATGTCTGGCGCTCGGCATTAAGGGGCCAAAACAAGTACTGGTCGGCTCGGAGTCAGTATACTGTGTCTGAGCAGGGTATTCATGTTGAACTGCGGCATGGTATATAAGTGGGCTAGCACTATAAATCGGCATCAGTCCGAACTAGTACAAGCAGCCACACACACATACGTGCATGAACGATGTTTGTAAGCGCAATAATCTTGGACGTGACGTTAAACCCCATTTCACCTCACCTCGCCTTTAACTCGATATCGTCTATGACGATATATATTTATAATGCCGAAAACAATTTATCAGTGGTTTGAGATCAGCCGGCAGCTCATTTCGAAATACTGATAACTCGACCTATTCCCAGACTGACGAGCTTTCGCCCAGCTTGATACAGACAGTCACACGAATGTGTGTCGAAAATGGGGCCATGGGTGGCATAACATTTTGTTGTAGGTATTTAGTAACGTTTGATATTTTTGGATATACCAAACTCTTATTTTAAAATGGATTAAGTAGGTCGTGTCATGAAAATCCTAAATTCGCAAGCTACTGGTACATGTACCAATGCATTACGCGGACAACACGCTACATCCCACTTCGTTATGGCCGAGTAATCTCAACTGGGTAAAAAGTAACTTCTGTGTCAAATACAACATAAACAGAAATTAATGTGCATAAACTTCAGTCTCAGAAACACACATGTTTATTTCTATGGAAACTGTCATTCAACGTCAAATTGACGTTCGTATGAAATGATTAAATGAGCATATATTAACCCCCTGAAGGCTTCATCATGCCATTTAGATGTTAATGTCCGTATATCAGCGTTATAGCCTACCGAGGTATTTAAGTCATGCGGATATGCCTCTGTTGGTTGATAAAAGAGCGCTTCGGGGCAGGTTAGCATGGCGTCAAATGGCTTTTAAAGATACCGAATGAATTGCAGATTGCCCATGTATGAATTTTATTACCGTTAAAAGCGATAACATATTTCTTTTTATTGCAGATCCACCTGAGAGAACCTGTATCGTGACTAAATTTTAGTTAGAATGCATATTTCGTTATTTCATTATACGTTTATTAGTATATTATATTCATAGTTATCTCAAACGGATTTTGTATTTAAGTATTTTCAAGGAATACGTGTATTTCGGAGGATTCCGTATGATATGAGTCTATTGTCTGCACGGTATTACCCGGTATCTATGGTAGCTGTTTACACTGTATTACCCAGTATCTATGGTAGCTGTATACACGGTATTACCCGGTATCTATGGTAGCTGTATACACGGTATTACCCGGTATCTATGGTAGCTGTTTACACGGTATTACCCGGTATCTATGGTAGCTGTGTAGACGGTATTACACGGTATTACCCAGTATCTATGGTAGCTGTATACACGGTATTACCCGGTATCTATGGTAGCTGTATACACGGTATTACCCGGTATCTATGGTAGCTGTGTACACGGTATTACCCGGTATCTATGGTAGCTGTGTAGACGGTATTACCCGGTATCTATGGTAGCTGTGTACACTGTATTACCCGGTATCTATGGTAGCTGTATACACCGTATTACCCGGTATCTATGGTAGCTGTATACACGGTATTACCCGGTATCTATGGTAGCTGTGTAGACGTTATTACCCGGTATCTATGGTAGCTGTGTACACTGTATTACCGGGTATCTATGGTAGCTGTATACACCGTATTACCCGGTATCTATGGTAGCTGTATACACGGTATTACCCGGTATCTATGGTAGCTGTTTACACTTTATTACCCGGTATCTATGGTAGCTGTATACACGGTATTACCTGGTATCTATGGTAGCTGTATACACGGTATTACACGGTATCTATGGTAGCTGTATACACCGTATTACCCGGTATCTATGGTAGCTGTGTACACGGTATTACCCGGTATTTATGGTAGCTGTATACACCGTATTACCCGATATCCATGGTAGCTGTATACACCGTATTACCCGGTATCTATGGTAGCTGTATACACGGTATTACCCAGTATCTATGGTATCTGTGTAGACGGTATTACCCAGTAACTATGGTTGCTGTGTATACGGTATTACCCAGTATCTGTGGTAGCTGTATACACCGTATTACCCGGTATCTATGGTAGCTGTGTACACTGTGTTACCCAATATCTATGGTAGCTGTATACACCGTATTACACGGTATCTATGGTAGCTGTATACACGGTATTACCCGGTATCTATGGTAGCTGTATACACTTTATTACCCGGTATCTATGGTAGCTGTATACACGGTATTACCCGGTATCTATGGTAGCTGTATACACGGTATTACACGGTATCTATGGTAGCTGTATACACCGTATTACCCGGTATCTATGGTAGCTGTGTACACGGTATTACCCGGTATTTATGGTAGCTGTATACACCGTATTACCCGATATCCATGGTAGCTGTATACACCGTATTACCCGGTATCTATGGTAGCTGTATACACGGTATTACCCAGTGTCTATGGTATCTGTGTACACGGTATTACACAGTAACTATGTTAGCTGTGTATACGGTATTACCCAGTATCTGTGGTGGCTGTATACACAGTATTACCCGGTATCTATGGTAGCTGTATACACGGCATTACCCGGTATCCGTGTCACTGCTGAAAACACTCAGAATCTTTTTTCACAACAGAATGAGAGTCCAGTGTAAAGAAATTACACTTGATGGTGTGAGGTATTGACAAAGCACTTTGATGGTGTGAGGTATTGACACGGCATTTTGAGGGTGTGCAATATTGACACAACATTTTGGTGGTGTTCAGTATTGACACAACACATCCTTAGTCTCAAAGAAAACACGTCTCAACATCCCGCGTGAGACGGGACTATTTGCATTGATTGATCTGAAAGGATATATTTACGTCCATTAACCATTTATAGTCTGCTGCACAAGTTTTATGTTCCAAGCATGCCTAAAAGCTGTGCCTGCACAAGCATATCAAAGCTTAATCATAAAGTACAATTTCTTTTTGCAATGGTCAATAAATACGTCCCTGTGACATATGGTTTAAGGGGTCAAAATATACCTTGCTGATTCACATTGCTTATTACCAGGGGGCAATCTAGCATAAATTACACCTTGCTGATAACCAAGGGGCACTCCAGTGTAACATACACA